CACGTCAGGAGCATAGGAATACCCCTGCCAGCTACACCGAGAGGGGATGAACATTTTAAAATGTAAATAGTGCCAGTAAGATCAGAGAGGTACAGGAAAAGGTCTCTGACCCACACGGGTGAGCCCACGCTCGCTCATTTCCAGCAGGAGGTGCCTGAGTGCTGGCGTGAGGACATCTGTCACCTGCCACACCGAGGTGATCTGGAGAAGTTGGAGGTTGTTGGGCTCTTTTTCTGCTTCCATTTGTGAGTCACACTGGGTACTTCTTCTTCTTCTAGGTCATTGTGCTTCTTCTTGAGCTTTCAGAAAGCAAATCCTATTGCCAACTGTAGAAGTTTCTTTTGGTGGAAATGACTGTGCATTTGCAGTTCCTATAACCCAGTATTGTACAGACGATTTTTAAGCCAGCTAGTGAGATTAGGGGACTAAGGGAAACTGTTAGGTGGCTTCAGGTTGTAGGAGAGGCTGGCTGGACCGAGTGAGTTTGAGTGACCTCACATGCTACTTTTCTTTAGCTGGGTTGATCCTTCTTTCTTGATTCACTAGTTGGTCATGCTTTCTCATTATTAATTTCTGGGTAGATGCCAGTTTTTCTTGGGTGATTTTCCCTGGTCCAGCTGGTGTATTCTCACAGTGGTCTTCAAGCTGAAGGGAAGCCCTCCAAGTCACCACTGTCACGGCCTTTATCACCTGCAGATTAAGCCCCTCAGGTAGGGGGTAGTCTATGTGTGTGTGTTTGCATAATGTCTAATGTGTCATAGACACTTAGAATCAAACCCAAAGCACACCCTGCCCCATGGCCTCAGCAGCCAAATTTTCTCTGGGTCCACGTGTAGCATACACACCTTATAGCACACTAACCACAGGCGAAGTTGTTGGGGTTTTTTTTCCTTTTTTTAAAATTTATTTACTTATTTTTGAGGAAGATTAGGCCTGAGCTAACATTGGCGCCAATCCTCCTCTTTTTTGCTGAGGAAGACTGGCCCTGAGCTAACATCTGTGCCCATCCTCCTCTACTTTATATGTGGGACACCTGCCACAGCATGGCTTGGTAAGTGATGCATAAATCCGCACCCAGGATCCAAACCGGCAAACCCCAGGCCACCAAAGTAGAGCATGTGAACTTAACTGCTGCACCACTGGGCTGGCCCTCGGATTTTTTTTCTTTTTTAAACTATATACCTGATCTGCTAGAGGTGAGCAGTTAAGAATCTTGAAGACAGTAAAGAAAAATGGAAAAGGCAGAACAAAACCTGGGTCCCTCTCCCCAAAGTACCCTAGATGGGAGAGGTCTGTGATAGCGGAGGAGAGGGTGGGGGATTCAGGATTTGTGTAGGAGAAGAATTTCCTTTCTGGCGAGGAGAGTAAGAACTCTGGAAGGAGGCAGCTCCTTCACTGAGTGTTCCACTGGGATTTGTGCCTTGGTGGATTCTTCATATATTACAGTGAATTTAATTAAATACATTGTGATCCCAGTTGAGGGTATTCTAATTAGCTGGGTCAGGAACAAATTATTCTCCCTCCTTCTCCAAATGAAAACATCTCCTCTCTTCTGCAGGGAAAGCATATCCTTGGCTGGCTGGCTTGCCCCAGTGGAGCCCTCATGAGCCTCTCCAGCCCCGTTGCCTCCTTCTCCCCCTTCTTAGCCAGGTTCCATGGGTGGGTCCAGTGCCGCTTGAGAGGGAGAGTGCGTCTGGCCAACAGGGTCATGGCATGGACCCACCAAGGCCTGGGAAGTGACCAGACACTGTGGAGAAGGTTTCAGGACCCTGCTGCTAGCTTTGGGTCCCTGTTTGCTCCAGGTTGGACAGCCTGAGAAGTACGGAGCTAGAACTTACAAAATTTGGTGAGAACAGGATCTGTCACAGGCAGGTAGATGTCAGGAAGCTCAGGTTGTGAGCGGAAGTTTGGTTTGGGATGTTACCTTTATAAGCAGTGTTTCCTAGCAACCGAGAAATAGTTTACTCTGGATTTGTGTGTGTGTGTCTTGGAGAATGAACTTGGAGTGCAAGAGCAAGCTCGGGATTTTGAATGAAGCTTTTGTGCAGGTCTCTAAGAGAGGACCCTAAATGTTCCCTAGACCAGGACCCACGGAAGAGGCCGTGGCTCTTTTGACTTTGTTTGCTTTTATTCTTTTCTCCACCATTTGTAGCGTGTGCCCATTTCCCTTCCAAAATGGATCTCCAGTGGCAGACAGAAGGATTCCTGGTGGCACGGGAGATTGCCATTTACCACCAGGAGTTCGAGTGTAGAGTGGTTTTGGAATGTCTTCGTCATATCAGTGATTTTTTTTAAGCAGGAGTCCCCTGCACAATGTTTATTTCCATTCCGGATTTCTATGGATCTATCAACCAAGAGCCCATGGGCTTGAGGACAAACGACACTGGATGTCTCAACTCCTGTCCAACTCCTTTTGGCCATGTTATCCTCTCTTCTGGCTCAGAGATTGGAAACCCCAGCCATTTGGAAAAGAACCCTCGCATCCATTTTAAAATTTTATGTTTAAGATTCAGTGCCTTATTGCAAGGAAATCCTGCTTCCTGGAAAGGTAATGGGAATTTGAGGGTAAGGTGTTAGTGATTCTTGCTCTGATTTCATAGTTTATGATTCCACCCAAATCCCTGGATAGAACTTACTCCTTTGGATTCCGTGGTTATTTTCCTGTTACCTTTTATTCACACAGTTTTTGTTGAAGCTTTCATAAATGTGATTCCCTTGATCTTAGTGACCCAAGACAGCAGTTCCTGGCTGTTGTACAAGTTTCCTCAATCCCAAGCCAAACTCTTGCTCCCAGGAATATCCTGGTCCAGTTTTTGGCTTGTGGAGAACCTTGCGGAAAGTCGGGGAGGATGAATGTGGGCAAGCGCATCTTTTTCCTTTACATCTCACCCATCTGACCTTCCATCTCTGGGTCGCAGCCACCAGAAAACATTGCTTTGGTGCATTCCATCCTCCTGAAATCCTCAACAAGGAGCCTTATCTCAGAGGAGGCAAATTGAAGATAAACCATTTAAAAAAAAAATCAGTTCAAATTTATTTCAAGAAAACCATCTTCTTGTGATCAGTTGTAATTTTTTTAACAGTTAACGTTAAGCTCACTGGTTCTTCAAACTCCTTCTGGTTGTGGAATTGCTGTAGGGCAGCTGTTACTGGTGGGGGTGTTGTTTTGTTCCAGGGTGTGCACTTGAGTGTCTTACGTCACCGATTTCCGGGGAAAGAAGAGATTGTTCTCTCTTGGTACCTGTGAAGCCTCTCATAGTCTTACCTGCAGATTGGCCCCAGAGCAAGAGTTATGTGGAATAGTTTGGCTGATTTACATGTTTGAGGACCTGGGCCTCCCTCACCTCCCCCACAGTGATTTTTCTATGCTGCTCCATTAGTACATTTGTGTTTCCTCTTCCGATAAGGTACTTCTGGAATTTTCACACTTTTTCAGTGAACATGGGACATGTGCGTGTAAGCATATGAGACTTGGAGTGGTGTCACCCCGTTGGAAGCACTGGGAGGGCTGCTCTGGTTTTTCAGCATTGGGCAGAGTGCAGGGCATCCTGACTGCTCTGCCTTCTCAGTGGCCCATGTTGTAACCTGGACAAGAAAGGTAGCCAGGCAGAATCAGAAACAGGTATGAAGGCAAGGGCGTCAAACGGAACGAGTGTGGGTCAGAAGGGAGAGGAGCAGAACGGAGCAGTTCTGAGGCATTTGTCCTGGACTCTGGGGAGCTCCTTGGGCCAGGCTCCAGGGACTGGGACTGGGGGTGGAGGTGAGGGCAGGGCAGGTAACAACAACATGAGTATATAAAACACATCATCTGAATTTCCTCCTCCAGAAGGATGCTGGGGGATGTGAGACCTGGCTTCTGGTTTTCTCTCGCCCACTACCTAGCTAGTTTACCTTGGGTTGGCCACTTAAACTTGGAATTGTTTCCCCTGCTTTCCGTGCACCCAGTAGAAAAGTCTTCTTTTCCTCTAAAATGGGTCATTTGGAATGAAGGAGATGGCCTTTGTGTACCAGGAGCACGTCACTTCCCTAACTGTTAGTAAAAATGCTCCATGGCTTTAAGCATATTCTCAGAGGCCCCAAAAGGTTGTGAATTTTCTGCGTGGGTAGTTTTAATTCTTCTCCCAGACCGGGAAGTCTGAGGTCTGCTCACTGTTTCTGTGCTCTTTCCTCTTCTCGCACCCCTGACTTTCGTCCTGTGCGTGCCTGCCTCCTCCTGGCTCTTGGGCTTCCCTGTTCTGGAATCAGAGTGCTGTGTCTACACCAACACACAGAGAGTGTAGTTTTGACCATCTGTGCACTAAGCCACATGAGATGTTGACAGGGAACTCATCTGGAGAAATTTATTTTTTTTGTCGCTTTTTTTAAATCCAGGGGAAAACCTAATTTTGGCTGCTCCTAATAGGCTGTATGTAGTTCTAAATACAAAACCTTGACTCATATTTCTTGTGAAAAAGGCAGACAAGCAGCCTTGGCAGAAGTTGGCTAACTGTTTCCGTAAAGGGCCAGAGAGTAAAGCTTTAGACTCTGCGGCCTATATAGTCTCTGTTACAACTGTTCTATTCCGGTGTTTTGGAAGCAGCCATAGACAATAGGCAAATCCACAGCCATGGCCGTGTCACCATGAAACTGTATTTACAAAAAAGGGCAGCAGGTTGGGTTTGGCCCGCGGGCCATAGTTTGCTGACCCCTGATTTAAGTAAAGCGGCCCACTTTGGAGACTGAAAGGGGAACCTTTACTTATTGTGTCAAGGAAACTGGTGTTAGAGTGGGAGGGTTCAATCCATCAGCAGCATTTTCGGCCCTCTGCAAAGCCACAGCGAGGGACGTTTGTGGAGCCAGGAGTGAGAGTCAGCTGCTTGTCCTCAAACAGCTGCTCGGGGAGGGGCCACTGACCCCTCTAAGGAATCTTCTCATCGGGCTGTGACCAGGACCAGGTGGGCCCCTGGCCGCAGTGGGCTTCCAGTGGCTTACCCAGGTGTCCCTGTCCTTTGCCCTCGCAGCACCTGCAGCAGCACGAGAGTGGCGTGGAGGGTGAGAGCTGCTACTACCACTGCGTCCTGTGCAACTACTCCACCAAGGCCAAGCTGAACCTCATCCAGCACGTGCGCTCCATGAAGCACCAGCGCAGCGAGAGCCTGCGCAAGCTGCAGCGGCTGCAGAAGGGCCTTCCGGAGGAGGACGAGGACCTGGGGCAGATCTTCACCATCCGCAGGTGCCCCTCCACCGACCCAGGTGAGTGGTCTCGAGGCACGGGAGGCCCAGGGCGGGCCTGGGTGTTGACCTCCGTGAGGCCTCCTCCAGGCTTTGGTTTGGTGCAGCTGGCCCTCGGGTCCATTACTGACCTCACTGGTGACCATTGTGTTCCGGAAGGAACATGCATGGATTGTTGCCTTTTTTTTTTTCTTTTAAAGGAAGTTAGCACCACTTTCTTTTTCTTCAGGTCTCACAAACTGCTCCCCAGTGAGCAGGCCAGCAGAAAATGTTTTGTCCCCTATCCCAAAATTCCTCCAGTAGATACTGTAGATTCAGTATATTGGTTCCAAGTGACATAAAGCAAATGCTAAGTTATGTCTTGCTCAGTATTAAGAATGGGCAGTTTGTGGCCTCAAGTCTGGTCTGTAAGAGTGAACTTCCAAGACGATCCAAACAAGAGCTTGTTGTAAACATTGTAGTTATATCTGAGAGCAACTCTGTCTGTTCGGTGGCTCAGGGCCGCCTGCTGCTCCACACACCTTCCAGCAGAGCTCGCCCAGTTTCTGCCTTGCGTCCGGTTGTCTCATCCCTCACCTTTCCCTGTACCTCCTTCCGACTCTGTGTGACTCTCATTCCCATTGGGCTCTCACTCGGTGGAATCACCCACCTCTCATATTTTTTTTAGCCTTCCAGTCCCTTTCTCTCAACGTGGAATCACAGGACAGTCGCTTGCCTCTGTAAAAACAATAAAACAAGAGCTTAATCCCGTGTCCCTCTCTCTACAGCAGAATCTTGACTCTTCTTGAAAGCTGGGTCAGCAGTGGCCATCTCCAGGCCGGGCCTCACCTCCTGTAGCCCGTTTCCACTCTTGAGAAGGCCCCCATTGACCTTGGATTGACCCAGCCCAGTGGCTACCTGCTGGGCCTTATTCTTTTCTTTCTGTGGTCTCTGAAGTTGTTACACCGTCCCTTCTCAAAGCTTCCTTCCTTGAGTTTGCAGGGCGTGTGTCTTTCTTGTCTTCCTGCTTCTCTTGACTGTCCTCCATGCCCAGCCCTGGCACACGTCCTCAGCCTGCCCCACATTCTGGCGTCACCTGGGCATTAGGCTGTCACCCTCCACTCCCAGCCTCCTGAAGCTTTGATCCCCTGCCTTTGCTAAATGCCCTTCAGACAGCTTCCTGGATTTCCCGTGGTGCCACCTCATAGATGATGAGCTCATGACCCCCCACCCTCACCCCCACCCCGACTTCTTTCTCCTTCTGATTGTACGTTGTTGAGTAACCTGGACAAGCTGGAGCCTGGGTCCCATTCTTCATCCCTCCGTCACCTGCAGCCCCCTCTCAGGCAAAGAGCTGTCATGGCCATGTGGGGTTTGTAATCTCAATGTTATCAAATTTCAAATTTTTATAGCTTTTATAGGTAAAAGTTATATAAACCTTATTATGAAAAATGACTTGGTCCTTTCCCATCCCCTTCCTCAGAGCAGTGGCTTTAAAGTTTTAGATTCTTTTGTTACTTATGTCCGTATTTCTTAAAATGCTTCTACTACTAGTTCTTGATTTTTTTTCTTTAACTTTTATACATTATCTTTTGGTTTTCTGCTCTGGAAGATGAAGATTTCACTAGTATGCCGTTCTGCAAACTCAGGCACTCATACCCATTGACACACAGCCCCCATTTACGAACTCACAGGATACCATACACACACACATCGCATACTCCATACACACTCACACGCCCACCACACACGCTCCATACTCCACGTTCACACATACCTCAACTCCGTACATACACTTACACATACACAAGCCACACACACACACACACACTTCCCATTACTCCATATACCCTCACACACACACACACACCCCTGATACTCCATACACACTCACACAGACACTGCACACACACACACCCCCACCCCTCTAACCCCCACATTGTGCTTACTCTTCGCCATACTCCCCAGCCCCCCTGCACACTCAGTCTCCCTCCCTTCGTCTTCCATTATGATTAAATAATAATTTGGGGTTATATTAATATTCAGTGTTTTCATTATTCTAACTCTATAAATATTAATCACAGCTGAGCCATGTAGAGTTTTATAATTTCATTTACCTTCTTGTACAACTTTTTGTTTTCCCTGGTTTTCCAGGTACCTATGATTAATTCATGGCTAACCCTCTGCCAGAGTAGACATTTCCGCATCTCTGAAGGCTCTGCTCTATCAGTTTTTCTGTCAGCCTCTTAGCAGTCTTCTCCCGGAGGTGTCCCCCCTAAGCCACTGCACACCCCCTTGTCCACCTGCTGCTGTCTCTATCACCTGGCTGCAACTTTGCGCCCTTTTCCCCTGTAAAATGAAATGGAATTCCCACCTGACTTCGAGAGCGTTTCCTCTGTGGGGAACTAGTTGAGGTTTCCTCTCGCAGTGGGAAGGCCAGTCCTCCCGACAGTCAGTGTGAATCATTTCTTCTGGAAAGTGCTGCTGGGTACAGAATAATCTTTGTCACCTGCAGGTTGCTTCAAGACGGTCCCTTCCTTCATGTTTTTCAAATGCCTCTTCTGGTTAAAGTTCAAATGCCTTAACCTGTGGGCTTCTGCTTCGTGTCTGATGCCATCCTTCTGCATCTGAGTGCTCTCTGGAGGATCAGGCCCCAGCAGCCCCAGACCTGTCTGTGCTGAAGACTGAGACCATCGTGCCCTCTGGCTGTGGGGGTCCCCACTCCCCACTTGGGCTTTGGCCTCTGTTTGATCCTGCCACTCCCCATTATTCCACTGGTGAGGTCATTTCATAGGATTCCCCTTCCTCTACCAATATACGCAGACCTATTTATCTCGGTGGCGTGTTTTTTTTTTAGCCAGCTCTACATACGTCATTGTTTTAATCTTCCATTAAAAGCTGCTCCCTTTCGCCCCTCAATTCTTTCTTTCACTCTGCTCAGAATTCCCTTTTTATTAATGAGGTGCCCCAAACTAAATAGTGTACAGCTGCCATTTCACCCGGGCTCTATGGACTGGAACAAGCAGTTCCCTGTTTTATAATGTAATACTTCTATTTATGCAGTCCGCTCTGGAATTGCTTTCTTACACCATTGCCTTCTGGGTTTCTCTCATTTAATGCGTATTAGGGTTTTTTTCCCCCTGAAGTGTATGAGCCGCTTTCGTCTAGATGATAGACTTCCTCTCTGTATTTCAGAATCCTTTTGTATTGTCTTTGGCCTGGAGTCATGTTTTTGCTCTTCACCCGCCTCCCTCCGACCCTCCACCCCCCTCCCATTCATATACTCTGGCTAGGTTTTTACTCTTTACTAATGACAAAAGGGACAAATTATTAAGAAATATTCATATTGACATTAACAGTAAACTGGGTGTTGTTTTAGAAACTTCTTTAAGAAAACATCTTAAAATATATCTTCCCCTCCCCCACGGAGTGGCTCTTAAAAACTTCTTGAAAGAATGTCTTCAAGAAAAGGGACATTGTGGACCTGGCAGAATTAAGACATTGAAGGTCATCAACTTCCAAGTTTTGTCAACACACTTCAGAAAATCATCCCAGTTTTCTCCTCTCTAGCATAAGGATCGGGACATCAGTCTTCAGCTGGAAATGTCATGCATGGAGCAGAAGGAGCCTCGGGGGGTCTTCGAGCACCTTGGAGGAGCCCTGCCTGCTCTGGCCCTGAGCTGTGTATAAATGGTTGTGCTGTCTAGAGTTGTCAGTACTGGCATTCTGTCGTCATCTAGATGAATGACACTGTTCCTTCTCCCATCCTTCTTTTCCTCCTCTGTTCTCCATGTATCAGGAAGTTTTAAGCCATCAGAAATTACTTCCTTTCCTTTTCTGAGCTCAGTATCTCATACCCTAGTCTCATAGCACTTTCTACAGGTATCAAGACGTCCCTTGCTGAGGCTGGTGGAATGAACTCTGGAATAGTTTCTCCCCTGTGGGTGACAAAAGCATCATCTCTTCAAACGTGACTTGTTTACTTAAGCCAGTGTGTTTTCCGGTCAGGTTCACCACATGAGCGTGTAAGCATGGAGAAGGAGAAATTGCCAAGGTCTCTTTGCCCTTCAGAACTTTGCGGTAGTGGCCAGGATTACACCTGCTGCTGGCTGCCTAACCCTTGAGAGACATCACGGCCAGACATAGAACATCTAGGTCCTGCCTGCACCAGAGGGCTGCCTTGGCTGCTGGCAGTGTGCTAATAAATAGGCAACTGTCCCCTACATGGTCCTGCTTGTGGTCAGGCTTCATCCTTAATCAGTGGGCAGGCGGAGTCCTATACTGCATTGTCTTTAACCAGTGTGATGGTCTTTGAGTTATGCTTGCCTCCCTCACCCCCACACTAGACACACACACACACACTCACACTCACTCACTCACACTTACATACACTGGGCCTTCTCAAAAATGTCTTGGAAGAGCACATCTCAGAGAAAATAAAGCAACCTAACCAGGTGAGGTTCCCTGCCATGCCAACGTTTTTTTCTTGGGACCTGGTCTTTTGATTATTGACTTGAGTGTATTTCTGCAAGACTAAGTGGTCTGTTGACTTTGTTGGGATTTGGTCCTTTCATTTCATCCCCACACACAGGTAGAGGTAGAGATAATCCGTCGTGGTGGGCCAACACACTGGGTTCTATCTCTCAGTTGCTGGCACGGCTGTTTACTTCCCCTTAGTTGACTAGAAGCTCTTGGAAGATGGAATACTCTCATAGGTGGGTCATGTGTAGGATCAGCTTCCCTGTTTGCTTATTAAAAAGGCATTTCTGGCTCCTGGGTGAAACTGTAGTTAATTTCTCTCTATCAGTGCCCTGGACTTCTAGAAGACAAGGGGCCCTTTGTGTTTGGCCCTCACCTCCTCCTCCTCCTGTTTTCTCTCTTAGCCTTGCCTTAACTACTTTTTGTTTCATGTAAACCTAGATTTCCAAACTTTGCACAGATGTAATTTAATAATTGTTTATTGAGTGCCTACTATATACAAGACTTTATGAGTTGGGGGGCACAGCTGACATCTCCGCTCCGTTCTTAGCGTGGATACCCTG